GGGGCCGAGACCCAGCAGACGTAATTAATGATCCCGAAAACGTTGACGACGGCAACCAGCAGCAGCAGCAACAGCAGCAGAATTAAACCCATGAAGGGGCAAACGCATGTTTTGGACCTTTTTTACGCTTTTGGCCGGTTGGCAGATGAAATACCAAAAGTGGAATACAGGTGCGGATTAAGGTCAGACGGTCGAGTGGAGCCCGAGATTGAGTTTGTCAAGGCGAATCAATAAGGCTTATCCCACAATTCATATTTCCTTACAAAAATAAACGGCTTTATTTTTGTTTAAAAATATTTTATGGCATTAAAACAAATTTATTCAGCTTTAAATTCAAATCCAAAACAGTTATCAAGTTCATACATTATAATATATGCTTTAAAAAAATTTTAGTTGAAGTCGTATAGTAACCGAGATAAGAATGTATATACATAAGCTAATTTTATCCAGTTCTGTGGTGAAACTTTTTAAATAATGCCTCACTGACTAAGTGCCTTATAACTTTCCATTGAAGATCCCAGCATGAATTACTAATTACTGTGACTTATTATTAAGAATTTTTCAAGATAATAAGGATTCATGAGGTTCATAATATCGACAAAACCTCAATTGAATCATATTTAATGAAATGAAAAATTTAATATTAATCATTGTGGGGTTCTTTTTCTTGATATGCTTCTTTTTTTATCATCAAAAGGAATACTATATACTATTATGTGGTACTGAGTTCGGAACGGGGAAAAAACCAGCAAGAAATATCTTTGCAGACTCCACAACTGGATGCCATAAGAAGTTGTACTACAACTCGATGTTTATAGTATTTGTAGAATGCCGAGGGGCGAGTCAGCAAGACGTACTACAAGATACATAACAACAACAAAAGCTAACGCAACATGAAAACCGGTCTGTGGCAGCAACAACATTGCCCATACACACAGATACAACACCACCTAAGCATGTGTTTGTGTCAAACAAGAAGACCAAGACGCTGATGAGAAAAGGAGGGGGGTGTGGGGGTTTTGGGGGTCTTATAGAAAGAGAGCCGAGAAGCAGACGCAAAACGAGACGACTCTACAAAGCACCACAGGCACTCACACTCTCACAACCACAAATCTACACATCTACCTCCTTCTTGCTTTCCATATTCTTGAACTTCAAAAAGTACAACGATGAAAATCGAACAAAAAGCCAGCATAAAACAAATAAAAACGAAAAAAAAAGACGAAGAAACAAACAACAACGTCAAGCCGTCAGACAGCTACTGGTGTTAACCCGTAGTACATAGTAGTAAAAAGCAGCCAGCAGCGCAGCCAACACACAGATACTATATGCTATAGGTATACCTACACATACATACAATACACGCGCGTACAACGCTGCGTATACGCCATGTCTGGCTGACAAACGTCTTCGCCGCCTTCTTTTTTCTGCCTTCTTATCGTTCGTCTTTTGGGTTCTTTCTTCTCCACAACCCATCTCTTCTTCCCCCCGATTCCTTAACGCCAATGCTCACTGTACGCTATATATGTATGTGCATTGCCGATTCGCGGACGATCGTCATCTGTGCAGTCTGCAGATCGAAAGACCCGAGAGAAAGAAGAAGCCCCCCAGTGTCAGTGATATGATATTCGACCCCCTCCCCATACGATCCTCACAATCGGAATCCAGTAGCTAGGGATTAAATGTGCAAGTCCCAGGGGAAAACCCCAATTCTCTGGCCGGGTGATAATATAAAACATTTATCCAATCTTTTTGTTTTCCAAAAATTTCATATTATTGTATAACATTGTCTTAATATTCAGCTTAGCTGATATAAGAAATCTTTAAAACAAGTTCTATTGTCATTTCAATACCAAAGACTTTTATTCTTGAGGTTTAATTTTCTTTTATTCTATTTGTTTTCCAAGAATTGCAAATTATTGTATAACATTATCTAAATATTCAGCGTACCTGATATAAGAAATGCTGAAAACAAGTTATATTGTCATTTGTATACCAAAGACTTTTATTCTTGAGGTTTAATTTCGAACGAATTTTCAAATTTTTTTTAATGACTTGGTCAAACTTTTTAATATCTAACAAATTTAAGGATTATGTATTCCCCAATTAACTTAGGTTTTTAATTTTTGCTTTTCTTATTATTAACAGATTATGTCTAAACAAAAGATAGCAAAGGAAAGTACAAAAATTTAATCTTTTAAGTAAAAACTTTGATGACTATTTGCTATCAAAACAAAAAAAAAACCTTATATGAACTCCATCATATCATATCAACCGTTTCTACTCCGTATTCCTTTTGATTTTTTTGTCCAATCTACTCAACTCTACTTGGCTCCAAACTTTTGCTGCGACCATATGCCGGGAATAAAGAATCCAATTCATTATAGTCACTACTGTAGACACTACAACATCGCCGGCAGACAGAACTTTAAGACCATCCATTACAAATGCTTTTCTTTTCATTTCGTGTTTATATTTCGATCTTGGCATGACTGCTGGGGATCTGCCTGCCTGCCCTTCTGTCTGGGTTGTTTTTTATGCTCTACATGATCTGGTTTTGTCTTGGATTTGTTGGATTTGGGCAATTTCAACTTTGTGATGGATTGCTATTGAAGTTTTTGGCTGTTTGTTGCTTGCAGCATTTTTGGCTTATTTCAACTTTTTAATGGTTCTCATCTCGGGTTTTGTTGCTCATGTAAACAAAAGATCTTGAGATACATATATCATGTAAATGTGTTTTTTCCTAGTAGGAATATAAGCAGATTTCCTCAAGGTTTTTACAAGATGTTAGGAGTATAGTGCTTAAGGCTAGCCACTAATGACAATTAAATGGAGGCACATGTTAAAAACAAATGAAGCAACATAATTTATGATGCAAAGTAGAATTATCTCAGTAACTTTCCTACGAACTCTACATATTTTAGCTTAAATTTTCTTTCAGTGCATTGGCCTAATTGAGAAACTAGCTTCAATACCAAAATTGGCTCATTGTCCTGCCCATAAAAGGTACACACACTCGCAATGTAATAAAATACGAAACAAAAAATAACTAGGCAAGTAAAACGTGCCATGCCTCGAATAATGAAGTTAATAATAAAAATGAAAAAAAGAAACATTTGCCGCTAACGATAAACCAAATTTGTACAAATAAAATAAATTAATAAACAATCGGCGTGCGCGTTTCTTTCGCTGTGTGTGTGCATGTGCGTGTGAGTGAATTACTAAGTTTTTGCCACCAAAGTTGGATTCGCCATATATACTATATGGTAGATTTATATAAAAGCCGAAGTAGACATAGCAACGGGTTTATTTCTGTATCGCTGTTTGGATTAATTCACAGAACGGCTTGCCAATTAGCAACAAAAAGTTCTTGCCGTTGATTAATTATTCTAAAATCTCAATAGCCCCACCTACCCGCATGAGCGAATGACAAAAAAAGAATTATATTGGCAAAAAACGAAGAAAAAAATCAATTGTTAAGGCCAGTAATAGAAGTGAAATCTGCATTATAAATGTCATTTAAACACGCCTTTTTGTGGTACACACATACAATAGAACCTTATACAGTGGTCTTTCGGAATGCTAACTTTAATTTTTCGGTTGTAATTTCCTTGCTTAAAATATTTAGCCTTTTAAGAACCAATTTAAAAGCTATAATATATTATTAAATAGGTATGAAAATATTTTAATTTTAAGAACTATGATTGTAGTAGGAATTATGAATACTAGAACTCGAATTAAAATTGAAAGCTTCTAATATTATTAGTTCAAATCTGTTTCTGCAGAAATCTTAAATCGTAAGAACTTTAAATTAAAAGTAGGTTTAAAACTCTACATTATCCCAATTTTGTAAGGTTTAAAACCTTTATCTAGTCTAACATGTGGATGACAAAACTAGTTGGGTTCTATGTTGCATAGTGACCACTGTACAAGCTCTTTGTGTGTATGCATTACTTTTCACATTGGCTTTGTTGCTGCTGCTAAGTGCGTCTAGTAATTTGCTGATAATTATCAACAAATGCGCGCTCACGCACATTCAAATGTAAATTAGGCACTGGAAGGGGTGGGAGAGAGCTGCAAGAGAGATGGAGAGAGAGAGCAGCAACAATAACAAAAGCATTGAATCTCATGCGATGCAGTTGCCAGCGAGAGTTTTGTTGCTAATTACACACACACATCGATGGCCAGCCAGTCAGAGTGCAAGTGCGTCTGTGTGCGTGTGCAGAAGGGGTGGTGGGGGCGGTGGGGCGGTTAACTTCAGTTGGTAACAGTGGGACCAATGCACAGAAAAAAATTATACTGTGATGTCTCTATATAAAAAAAGATTGAAACACAAAACAATATTTTTCCCTGTGCACTATGATTTTATTAACAAAAATCCCATATACCAATCATGATATCCCTAATGAAACCCACCAGAAACCAGTAACTTTTATCTTTAGCTAATTTCAGTAGCCGATTCTCATTCCATTGTTTTTGTTTACAAAAAACGCCGAGCTTAATTTGAATTTCAACATTTCACATTTAACATATCAATGATAAAGAATGCACACCAATACACGCGCAACCTAATTCTATGAGCCATTGTTTGCCGTAGTTTTTTTGTTTTGTTTTTTATGAACAATATGATGTGCAAATGTTCAGAGCATTGTGACACGTTTCTTTTTTTTTTTCAAACAAAAGGCGACTAGAATTTCTCGAATACAAATTTTGTGGCCTGACCAGCTACAACAAATACACACGGTCACACTAAAAAGAATTCTCGCGCTCTCCCAAAAAGAGAGCGGGAGTGTGGTGGTATGTGTGTTTATATGGCTGTTTGTGGAAATGAATGAAGCGCTGCTTGCCAACAACGTAAAAGCAAGTGTAAGAGCGAGCCAGGAAGAGAGGGGGCCGGAGGGGGAGGGGCAAGAACAAGAGAGTACGGAAGCGGGAGGGGAAATAAGAAATTTTCCAATTGGCAAGCACACACAACATGGGGTAAAAGAATTTGCGCTTACCGTTTTTCGCTTATTGACGTAGGCGTCCGTCTCTCTGTCTCTTTCTTTCACTGTTTTGTATTTGTATCTGTGTGTGTGTGTGTGTATGGCTATTTCCTCACTTATTTTTTATTTTATTTTTGCTACGTTTGTTTTTGTTATGCAAAAGGCATAGAATTTTTGTGGGTTGTACACGTTAAAAACACAAACACTTTAAAAATTATTTAACAGCTCGCTCTCCCGCGCTGCATGCACTGCGAATAAAATGTTGGCTGTATTTATTATGTGTTTGCTGGCTGGCTGGCTGGGCTTTACAACTTTTCCACGAGCAAAAACAACGCACGACTGTGGAAAACGCGAACCGACGAACCGAAAACCGTGAAAAGTGTTCATTGAGGAAAATTGAAATGAGCGCCCAGCATGTGACTCTCTCGCGCTTGCTCTCTCGTTGGGGCTCTCTCTCTCTGACTCCTCTTTTTTTGGTGGGGAGGGGGGCCAGTGTTGCCAACTCAGCAGCAGAGGCCCAATGCCAATAAGCCGAATTGGGGGAAATAAAGTATGCAAATGCAAAAAAATCTGCCAAAGTTCTCCAATTCTGATTTGAACTTATTAATTATTTAATTGGGGTTCTCGGGCAGCTGTTTTGTGGGCTGGCAACACTGCTCCACTGAACAGACAGCGCGTCGACGTCAGCGTGTGTGTGTGTGAGTGATGCTCTCTCTCTCTCCCTCTCTCTCTTTCACGCTCTTTGTCACACGCGCATTTCGATTGATTGTTTTTGTTGTTATTATTATTATGCCTTTTATTTGAGCTTAATTTTTAATCCAATATTTAGCCAGTATCCATGCAGCCCAGTTTGTTTTCCCAGCTCTCTGTTTCACTTGTTTTAACACACACACACACCTACACTCTCGAGCTGATGTGGGTGTGCGTGAGTGCGTTGTATTTGCAAACGAATCAGAAATTGTAAAAAAACCGTAAAAACGAACCGTTTTATTCACAAAAGGGCAGCAGGCGCAGCCCTTATTTTTGGCTCTTATTGGCTTTTTGTGCGCGGGGCACGGCACAAGAACAATTCACAAGAGCTCCACCTTCCGACATCCGCGACACGTCCGCCTGCGTTCGAAGTTCGGTGAAATTTTCCCCCCAAATCGCGCTGTTTCGTTTTCGTCGGTTTACTGTGTGTGCCCAGTTCTGCGGGGGCGGAAATTACTCGCTTTCGGTTTTATTATGGTGCTCAAGTATGGTCACTCTTTTGTGGTATTTTTAACAGTAGTACCTGAGGTCACTCTACGTTTCTGTTAAGTTATGGTCTTATATTAACGGAAATGTTAAAGTATTACGTTTTCGTTACGAATAAAGCGCCAATGCGGCCAAAAAGGGTACCTGTCTATGTAGATCTTATGTAGATATACTTCGCAATGTAAAATATAATTCGCTGTTGGTGTACCAGCTCAGGAAAATTATGACTCATGTTCATGAAGAGGAAGAACACTTGGCGCCTTGATTCAAAAATATTGCATTTTTGAGCTTGATAAAAGTGTAGGAACAGACAAGAACGAAATGGATAATATACAAAATAGGAGAAAAAAGGGGGAGAAGGTCGCAACATTTTTAAAAGGATAAATGGAAAATTTGAATCCGCAAAACAGGACCCAATCATAGACAATTTTAAATAGTGGACACCTAATTAATCGTCGCTATGAATGGGTCTTCATACCGAAGAATGGAGGCTAATCCGCTTCGCAAATAGCTTGTATCAACTGTGGACGGCTGTACACGTAGTGACGAAGCGCACCAGAAGAGTGTGCGAAAGCAACTACTATACATATATTTATACACAACGAAATTAAAATCTGCCGTGAAGGTCCGATCGTAACAAATCGGTTGGCATCGCAAGAACTAAAAGTTATGCAACCAATACTTTTCAAATTGTAATTGGCTTAGTAAAAAGAGCATAAAAAGTGTAAAAGTAAAAATTAAGAACCATTTTTCTGTTGGGGCCGTTGGCATTAAATACAATAGTTTGTTTTGTTAGTTGTATTGTTATTGAAAATGCGTCTCGAATGACACCTCATTTTTTAAAATCCGATCCTCCGTTCAAAAGTTGCACTTAAAGCTAGATTTTGGGGGTCTTTTCAAAATGAATATTTTATTTGTTTTGTCAGTTTGTCCCAGAGCGTTGTTTTAGGGTCCCGCAAATTTAAGATGATGTCAATCAGCTAAATTTAAGAAAATTAAGATCTAACACCTATAAATAGCTACATTTGGTACGCCAAACTGATCTGCTAAAACAACGGACAGTGCTCTTTGTCGTTGAAAAGGTATTTTTAAATACCATGTACGCTTTACTCATGTGATTTGTCTAATTACCATATTGTTTAAAAGTTTCCCAACAGTATGACCCGACTCATTTGAGTCAATGATTCGATTCAATGACTTGATTCTACGATTCGATTTTATGGGTCGACTCTTTGGTTCGACTCTATGATTCGATCCTAAGATTCGATTCTATGATTGGATTCTAGATTCTTTTCCCTGATTCCGAGATATCAGCGTTTAAAGTTTTTAGGCGGGTTGTGTACTTTAGAGTGGGTGTGGGAACATTTTTCAATCAATCGATAGGTACTTTCGAATGCAATACATTTTAATTAAAAGTTTTTTTTTATACCTTTTAAATTGTAGGAGACAGAGTGGGCGTGACACATAAATCTGAAATCTCATCTCCCTATCCCTTAATGTTTCCGAGATCACAGCGTTCACACGGACAGACAAACATGGCTAGATCGACTCCGGCTAGTGGTCCTGATCAAGAATAAATATACAATATGGGGTCGGATTTACATACCTTTCCCCGAATACAATATACCCTTTTACTTTACAAGTAACGGGTTTCAAAAGCCTAGTAAGTAGCAACCCTAAGTTTCAATGTGGCACTAGCAGCTGAAAATACCAGCCGTCAAACAAACGCGCCTCTTTTAAAATGCGATTTTAGCTTGTTGATTTCTCATTAAATTTCGCTTTCCTGAGTGGATAATTTATGAAGGCACTATCTTCGTATGGAACCGCCGTGAAAAAGAGCAAACATTCATCAAATTGGCGACGGAACTTTAGAAATATAAAAACCGCGCTATGTGACCCGTACACCTGCTGCCGTCAAGAGACATAAATTACGCATACGTCGTGTTAACCGTGGGAAACATATAAATGTGCTTGCCATCCACACGACAGCGCAAAAAAACAAATTGTTGTACCTTCTGCTGCTGCTGCTATTATTGCCATAACTTTAGACTTTTATGAGCAGTCAAGTCTGAGCGGAAATTAGGCTCCTTCATCGAGTTCAGCCTACGAAAATGTAACACTTCAAGTTTAATGAGCCGAAAAGTGCAAGTTGAGAGGCCCAAATATATTGCGTTCAATTAATTAATTGCTGCTGTGGTTGGTCTGGAAAATTTAAGGGCTTACCCTGATTTGGTAACAAATAATTACTTGATGCATTTAACAAGTTAGAGTTTAAAGCGCATAAATTAAAAGCTTTATAAACATATTTTTTTAAGAACTAGAATTATGTAAAGGATAAAATGCGCTCAAGTAATAAACTTTGTAATAAACCAAAAGAGGTCATAAAAAATCGCTGTTATTTATATTTTTTTTAAACAACACATTTTTTACTACAAAAGTACGTTAAAACGTCAACAAAACCCGTGATTAAATGCATCATAACATTTCCGCAGTTTGCTTAACGCATTAATTAGCATTCGGGATGCAAAGGGGATTCGTCGCTGGCTTTTTGGTATTTAAAATAATAATCCTAATTTGGCACACCTGTCGTCAAGTTTTTATGTCCGCATGTGTGTGTGACTGGAGCTGCACAAAAAGTAATTTGTAAAATTCCCCGCTATAAAACATTTATAATAAAAAGGTAGCAAGTGTCAAGCAAAGACACCCCGAACCGAGCGGAACCCTCTGCTCACATAACTCTCTTGGCCAACACATTTTTCGCATTTAGTTTGTAATAAAAAGCAAACATTAAAAGCGAATATTCACTTCGAAACCGACATTACGGTAAGTTGTGGTTAGTGGGGAGAATTCCAGGGGCGTTGAGTTGGCTTTTTGGGGTGCTGATGGAGATTTTTCTACAAAGTGGAAAATGGCTAATGATTTGGAGGGTCTTAGTTCCAGCTGCCACCATTTTTCCAATTTATTATAATGAAAATATGGGTCTGGGGATTTATGCAGCGAAATATTTTAAAAACCCTTACTCAACTAATCAAAATCTGGCAATGTATTTATTAAAAAGTAGTTTAATTATAATTTAATTATTCAACCTGCAAGCAAATTACTCTATAAAATATTATTCTAACATTTTTGACAAGTAATTAAAAAACCTAATTACTAACTAAACACTTGCTTATATAATGACAATTTAAAAACCTCGAAAAACTACCATTAATTTTGGTATCCATCAAAAATGGCTTAACGGATTTGATGTGTGTTTAATTTTAAATTAATTATGCCCGCAAGCTCGTCTTTTTTGCATGTCTGTACACTCTTTATCCATTCTGCTGCTCATACTCATTTACCAACACATTTTAAATAATGAAATTTGCGCATAAAACTTTGGCTTTTTGTAAACGACTGGAAAACCAAAAAGAGAAAAAACAATGTTGCATGCAACACACATCAAACAAAACAAACAAACTGGGCGGAAAATGGGCGGAAAGTCAGTCTACAAAAGAGTTACAAAATGACCAGCGGGCATTTTGTTTTTGTTTTTTTTTTAAAAGCTCTCATTTTCTATTTTCCGCCGTTCTTGTTTTTGTTTTTGGCCAAGTTAATTGGAATAGTTTTCGCCAAACATAAACAAGCTTCAAGAGCAGATAGTACGGCGGTTTTTGGGGGCTGTGGGCGTGGCTTTGTTACATATTTGATGTGTTCGCTTCAGCTTCATGATATAAATGAATTCCCCAAGAACCTTGAATTTTCCGCCCGAACTTAGCAAACTTTCTCCCCTCCATCGGAGGTCCTTTTCCTCTGCCATATTGCTGGCCAGACATAAAATTTGATTTAATAACCGCCGTTGGCTGCCATAAAAATTTGAGCTATTAAAATTTTGCCGAACCAAAATTCTGCTCATAAACGGAGGGCATTTAAAACGAAATGAATCCTGAAATCCGTTGGGTTAGATTGGGTTCAAGCGGGGTCTTAAGGTCTTTATTAGCTGTTAGCAGGCATTCCCAAAGTTCATAAATTGCGAAACGAAAAACAGAAGTTTAGTGCTGGTTATGGGATGTGAAAACGATTCACCTATGGTGCTCTTTATGGGCCTACATGTTTTTTTAATCAGGAAATAAGATCAGGAAATATAACATCCTTATAACACACAATGCCTTAAAAATAATGAAAACTTCAAAATCATAAAATAAAATGGTGGAATATTAAAAATATAATTACCTTTCTGTTGCTTCCCTAAAATAAACGAATTGAAAAAACTCATATTTAAGTATTTATTTAATTTAGTTTTTATTGTTTTAGTTTAATGGTTTGTTTATATCTCATTTAGTTTAACTTTACTTCATATTAATCACTTATATTATTTTTTTTGCATGTCTTGCAATCATTTTGTTTTCATATTGTAAACTAGACGATTATAAATTTAGTCTTAAAAATACAAATATCATATTTTGTTTTTTTGGCGACGCTTTTAATGGGCTTTATCAGAATGTTTTACAAATGAACTGGAAGAGTACTTAGCAGTATACAGACTTACTTGAATAATCTAAAAAAGAAACTAAATAAAAATTTATTAAATAAATGAGTTGATAAGTTGGCAGTTTTGTAGGTGGTAGAATTTTATTAAGGAAAGTATCAAGTAAAAAAAGAAATAATAAAAGTTAAAAGCCTTGAAATCCAATTGACTTGTTGCATTCTTGCAACAATTACCCGGTGTGTTCTATAATTAATTCGATTGTGTGTGAAAACTTCCCATTAAATTAAGCTTTTATGTACTTGTTTTTTATTCTTTAGTGCATTGGTTGGCTTTGTACACAGTAAAAAAAGCGTCCCTCGTTTGTTTTTCATCCTCAGAGTATTAATTTAAATAATTAACTAGTTATTTGTTTTCAATTATGCATCTCATTACTTTCATTGTTAATCTAATCTATTTTGA